GCCCCAAACTGGAAGCAGGGAGTGGCAGGCAGAATCACTATTTCAAGGGAAAGGATGTCTTTGAGGACGTGTCCCTGTGCCTGCGAAGGTCTGAGTTATTATCTTGCACGACAGTGCCTCGGCGTTCCACCTGACACACCAAGAGGATTTGCAGTGGCTCGGGGGCCCTCAGTGAGGGATGAGTCTTTTGTCATCAAATAGGCAAATTGTTTCCCCAAGATAGCTAAAAATACCCACTCTGTGGAGCAGCCTGGAATGAGAGGCTGTGGGGGTGGCAGAGCCCCCTGGGTGGGGTGTGCTGGGGCTGGAGCCAGTGAGCGAGGCCCCATGGATTTCTGGGGGAGCCTTCTGCTGAAATGCCCAGGCAGGTCTGCAAGCCCAAACATAACTAATCCCACCCAAGCTGGGCCCGCTGGCCGTCTGGTCCCCAGACGTGTTGCTTCTGTGTGTTGACGGGGTTCTTCACGTGGGAGCATTTAAGGGAGGTTCCCGGGGCCAGCCAGTGGTGTGGTGGTTAAAGTGGCTGGATCCCACATGGTTAACTTTACGGTTCGAGCCCTGGACTAGGCAGCTTGGAAAAAACAATGCTGGGCATGTGTGCATGTGTGCCCAGGATCCCAAGAGGAGAGTGAAGGAGAAGGGATTGTAGCATGGCCATGCCCCCTGGGGGTGAGTTCTCACTTCCCTCTCTCTCTGTATCTCTCTCCAGTGAGTGCATGCACCCTATAGCAAACAACTAGAAAAAAAAAAAAAAGTTTCCTGGTCTTCCTATGGCAGTGCCTGGCTTCAGATGTCCACGTTGGGCCAGTGAGCTTTTTAGCTTGGGGCATGGGCTGAGCTGGCACTGTTGGTACTTTGAAGGGCCTGCCTCATTTGGAAGGGTGCTGAGGGAGTTTTCTGGGGTGTAGAACATAAAGGGGAATCCCTGCCCCCGAGGAGGGGAACTGCCCGGCTTGTTCCTTGGCTGGTTGTATTTGAGAGGTCTGGGCATCGCCCTGGGGTGGGCTGGGGGACTAGGCCTAGGGCAGGGGCCAGCTCCTGACCACCTGCTGACCGATCTTGTGTCTGCCCCATGGGAGCCCTGGGATTGTTGCCTGTGGACCTCTTGCTGTGACAGGGAGGTGTTTTTTTTTTTTTTTTTTTAAAGTCTGTGCTATTTTATCAATAAAGATATTTTGTAATAAGCAAGCAGTTTCCTTGTTGCCCCAGGGCTGCCACGAGCAGTTATTCTTCAGCTACTTGCAGGGTGGACTCCCTGTGTGGGCTGTGAGCTGGGTTACCCTCCCCGGGCCTGTTGTCCTCTCCTCCCCTACATGTGGCTCATGTGGCTTGCTGGTCCCCCTCCTCCACCTGTCTTTGTCCACTCAGCATTCTTATGCATCATTACAAATGGGAGGGGGGCAAGGGTGGCCAAAGGAGCCTGAGCCTGGCTGGTTAAGGAAGAAGAGATGGGAGGGTTTTCCCGAGGAGAAGGCTTTCAGGTTGGGTCTTGGAGGAAGAGCAGGAGTACATAGAGGCAAGATAAGGTGTTTGGGCAGGAGAAGGGCACATGCAAAGGCCGGCCTGTGGGGAGATTTGTGACAACGTGTGAGAGAGTCCAAGTGAGCCCACTGGGTGGTCAGGTGCAGGAGCCAGGGCCAGCGGAGGTAGCCAGACACCACCATGGGCAGGAGGAGCACAGGGAGAGAGGGAGAGGGAGGACAGTCGCTCTGCATGGTGTTTGCACGAGGTGGGGCAGGGGATGGGCTGCTTGCTCCAGGCTGCCCTGCACGGAGACGCAGTCACAGCCATCAGAGCTGGAAGGCCCGCAGAGGTCCCACTCCAAATGAGCCATGTAAGGCAGCTAAGACGCACTGTGAGAGGGGTCCAGAGTGGGCCCACCAGGCCTCCTGTCCCACTTAGCTGTCTCAGAGAGGGCGGCCTCTGGGGCCTCAACTGGGCTGGCCCCGACAGCAGGCTGGCAGCAGGTGGCCATGGTAAGGCAGACCTTAGGGAGGCGAGCACGGGAGGAGAAGCAGTCTGTGGGGTGAGGCCACCTTGCTCCTCTCACAGTGGCCAAGAAAATACACTTTTACCTCCTCCATACTGAGTAGTTCCACGCTTCTGCAGGGACAACCATCTGGGATGGCTGTCACTGGTAGATGTGAGGACCTGGGCTCCTCGGAGGGCTCAACGAGAAAGACATGTCGGGACCAGCAGTTGGCATAGTGGCTATGTCGCTGGCCCCATGTAGTTGACCACGGTTCGAGTCCCAGACCTGGTGACTTAAACACGCTGGGCGCGTGTGCATGAGTGCCCAAGATCCTGAGAGGAGAATGGAGGAGAAGGGATTGCGGCGTGGCCATCCCCCCTAGCGAGTGATTTCTCACTTTCTGTCTCTATGTTTCTGTTGGTGGCCACCACCCCCCCTGTAGAAAAAAAAAAAAAAAAAAAAAAAAGGAAAAAGAAAGAAGGACAGGTCCTGCCTGCCCGACTCCTCCCCACACTGTAGGGGAGCCTGAGGCTACCACCCGTGGGTGAAGCCAGGTCACTGACTCTCTGACCAAGCCAGTCACTCCTCAGGCACTTTGTCCAATGACCTCGTTTAAGCCTTACTCCTGTCCTGTGAAATAAAGACCAGCTCATTTACCCAGGGCAGCTCAGGCTCAGGAAGGTAAGGACACGCCGAGGTCGTCCAGGCGCAGGTCCTTCCGTGCACCGCGCTGTCATTGCTCGAGGGTCTGCAAGGGGCAGGCCCTCAGCCAGGGAGTAGAGTACCCTGCTCCTGTGGGAATGGTGGCCGAAAGCTCTGCTGGAGCGAGACTGTTGGCACGCCCCCCTCCCCCCCTCTT